GCTATTAATTTTTAAAAATTAATTAATTTAGAGACAGGGTCTTGCTGTGTAGCCCAGGCTGGCTTCAACATACTACGTAGGCTACGTTAGCTTCAAACTCACAATCCTCCTGCCTCAGCCTCTTGAGTGCTGGGCCATAGTGGTTTATTAAATTTTACTCTTGTTCCTTCTCACCTTCTGTGTCTGTCACATCTGCACCTGTCGGGTGCCCAGCCCTGACCCAAGCTCTGTGGTAGCCATTATAAAAGCATCAGGTAGTGGACACAGCAAGTCGCCTCAGCACACTCACAATCTCTCATCTTGTCTTCAGGGCAGATTTTGTAACCCAGGAGGTCCAGCGTGTCCCCCGCCCACTGCCTCCGAGCTGCCACCTGACCAGGAAAGCCCCACCTGTCTTTCAGCTTCCCTGACACTGTGTCCATCTGACCCTGGGTTACTGAGGTGCTAAGCCTCCACCCTGCCTGCTTCAGGACCGCACTGCCTAAAGTGCAGTAGGTGGAAGGTAACAGAAACCTACAGCGATTTCATCACAGCAGTGCATGTGCTACTGACTGGGCAAGGAGACCTCATAGCATCTCTGGGCCCCAGCTCCTTCTGGTCTCTGAACTCAGCACACAGTTCTGACCTCAGGGGGCACAGGATAGATGAGGGCTGCAGAAAGTCAGAGAAGTGGCACCATGTGCCCCCCTAGCTGGAAAACTATGGCTTTTCTGAGGACTCATCCAGGAGCCCCCACATATCTTCAATGCTGAAGGGACTGGAGAGGCATTTCAGACTGGGCTCCGGTCTCCTAAATAAAGCAGGAAGAACATGAGGCCATGAAAGCCTGGTTTCTTCCTGCCCTTTGTGTTTGCAGCTACTGAATTCCCCAGAGATCCCCGTTCAGCTATCACCTCCTCTGTGAAGTCTCTCGTGATTGCTCCTCTAGACTCCTCCCTCAGATCTGTGAGTCTCCTCTTTGACCCTGCCTGCTTTGGCTTTCACACCTATCTTTATACAACCTGCCGGAAGCCCAGGAAGCACCGGGAAGATGGGCCCAGCTGAACAAGCAAATGAGCATATGCGTGAATGAAGGGTGCTTTCCCTTTCTCCCAGGCCATGTCCAGGCTTTACAGTTGTGTCCGTGTCCTCCCTACTTCCTCTCTTTATCTCCATGCTGGCTGCTGTGGGGAGCAGAGCTCAGGCCCCAAACGCTTTCCATTCACCACTGTGCTGTGTGACGTCAGCCCTATCAGGGAGCATCTCTGAGCCCCTTTAATCACCTGCCCACCAGAGGCCGTGCCCCAGTTTACCATGCCTAACTCGAGCCTGGCCTAGCGCAGAGGATTCTATTGCAATTGACATCGGATTTAAAACCAGACTTTGTGGTAAATAATTATTTTAGTGGAATTGTTGCAGTCCACAGATGGACATGAGTTATGCAAACAATGCATGAAACAGAAGTGTCCCTGAAGTGGCTTGCTGTGGTTTTCTTTTTCTTTTCTTCTCAATTTTAAATAGTTTTATTGAAGACATTGCATTTCCACTTATAATACAGTGCTTATAAAGTGCAATGTTATCTTTTCCCGGTGCACATGTTCCATGTTCAAGTATTGAGAATGCCCTGTACTTTACTATAGCAGTTAAACTTTAACAACTGCCACAGAATTTGCTACAAATTTAGGTCCTTCAATATTTTATTGTGTGGAACAATGCTAAATCTATACTTGGGGTTGACTTAATCAACCTCTTCAGCGGTGAGCCCTGAGGAAGCGCCACCAGAAGGAAGAGCTCCCTCACCAGGGCACTCTTTCTTTTTTTCTTCCTTCCTACCTTCCTGTGTGAGTTGAGCCTAGGGAGCACTGGACTACTTGCCCCGTTCTTTTAATTTATTTTGAATCTTGCTAAATTGTACAGGTTGGCCTTGAACTTATGATCCTCCTGCTTTAGCCTCCCAAGAAGCTGGGGTTATAGGTTTATAATACCATGCCCAGCTTGAGTTTCTTTTTTCTTTTTTT